GTGGCTCTTTGACAAAACTTCCTCAGAAGCCTACATCAGGCTGGAGTAAGGATTGTCCACACTGCATTTGGGAGCCGCTGTCCCAGGGACACATCCCTTGGGGGCTTGGCTGGGGCTGCATGGGGGGGCGGGTAGTCTTTGCCCCGGGAAGTCCTCTCCTCCTGCGACCCCAGCACCCCTCCCAGGTGCCTGGCGGTGTGAGGCTGGGCAGATCCTTCGGCGGGCACCGAGGGGGCTGACCTACTTTGCGCCTCATGTGCAGAAACATGGTTCATCTCTGAGGCCGAAACTCCATTGGTGGCCGTCTTGTTCATTCTTTGAGACTTATTCCTGAGAACGGAGCCACCCGGGGAGGAGAGGAGTAGTGAGCCCTGTGGAGGTGCCTTCCCTGGTGGCAGAGAGGCTCCTGGACCTCGGCTCACCCCCCGCGGCCCCCCAGGTGCGTCTTCCTGCCCGACCAGGGCGCCTTCTTTGTGAACTACGTCATTGCCTCGGCCTTCATCGGCAACGGGATGGAGCTGGTCCGGCTGCCGGGCCTGGTGCTCTACACCTTCCGCATGTTCATGGCCAAGACAGCGGCTGACCGCAGGAACATCAAGCAGGTATAGGGGCGCGGCGGGCAGGGACGGCATATAGACTGCCTCCCAGGACCCCAGCCTCCGCGCCGGGTGGCTCCCCGGGGGTCTGACCCCGGAGCCTGGGGGGGGTCACTCTCCCGTCTGTCCTGAGCACCCTCTCCGGCAGGGACGGCATATAGACTGCCTCCCAGGACCCCAGCCTCCGCGCCGGGTGGCTCCCCGGGGGTCTGACCCCGGAGCCTGGGGGGGTCACTCTCCCGTCTGTCCTGAGCACCCTCTCCGCCCTCTGCCCCCCCACCTCCCAGCCTGCTGGGTTGACGTGATCAGATCGAGGGAGACACGAAGGGCCCGTGAATCCTGGTGGCCTGGGTGGGAGCCCAGCGAGGCTGGGGTCTTGCGGAGGGCACAGGGACCCCGAGAGGCCGGGGAGGGGGAGCTGCGCACCTCCCGTTTCCGAAGTCGTCCTCCGCGCTGTCCCCTGGCGGCCCCGAGTGAGCTCCTGGCCTCCCCACCCAGAACCAGGCGTTCCAGTATGAGTTTGGGGCCATGTACGCATGGATGCTGTGTGTCTTCACCGTCATCATGGCCTACAGCATCACCTGCCCCATCATCGCACCCTTTGGTGAGTGGCCCGGGGGTGGGGGCCTGAGCGGCTGTGCCGCTGACCAGCAGCCCTAGCTCGAGCCCATGTCCCGGACCTCACCGTGCCGCATGGTGCACGCCTGCGAGGCAGGTCTGGTTTCGTGGATGAAGCACCAGTGGGACGGGGTGAGGAGTAGACCCAGCATTGGAACCGGGGACCGTTTGACTTTAGAGACCAAGATCTTGCCACTAAAATAAACATCAGGTTCCTCGATTTTGCCACCAAAAAAATATACATATATAAATAAATAAAATAAAAACCAACTGCAGACAGATGGAAGATTCTGGAAGGAAACAGAACACTCAAGAGACCGTTGGCCTTGCTAGCTGAGGTTTCAGGACAGGAGGAGGTTTTAGTTTTCCCTGTATGCTCTTGAACTATTTAAAAAAATGTATAGTATTACTCTTCAAAAACGAAACAATTTTGTAAAAAGCATGATACGATCAAAGAGGCAGCACCCACCTTCTGTGCCGCCCCTGAGGCAGGACCCTCGGGCAGCTGTTGACTGCTGGGTGCAATGGGTCAGCATGGCTGGGGAAGGGAAGGAGAGTGGGGGAGCCTTGCAGGATGGGGGGGCGCTCGCGGGGGAGGGCCCAGGACGAAGCTGAGGCCAAGCACCTGGGTATAAAATAGCTTCTTTCTGCAAAATGGTCCTAGACACCTCTACTCCTTGGTGTCAGGGAGAGGTTGGGAGGGGGGAGCAGAGAGAGAAAGAACGAGGATGCGAGCAGCCAGGTTCTGCATCTAGCCCTACTTGGGCTTCATGCGATCGGACAGATCACCAGCCCCAGGAGGCGGCAGGTGGAGGAGCCCCGTGGCCCAGCCAGGTCTGCAGCTCACAGCCCATCTCTGCAGGCCTCATCTACATCCTGCTCAAGCACATGGTGGACCGGCACAACCTCTACTTCGCCTACCTCCCGGCCAAGCTGGAGAAGAGGATCCACTTGTCGGCCGTGAACCAGGCCTTGGCTGCTCCCATCCTGTGCCTCTTCTGGCTCTGTTTCTTCTCCTTCCTGCGCCTGGGTGAGGGGCCCTTCTGACCAGGGCAGGCTGTGGGGTGGACGCAGGAGGCAGCCCGGGGCCTCCCAGTCCCCATTCATAGCAGCCTGTCAGGTCCCTCACCTTGGTGCCCAATCAGAACACGGTGCCCGGGCGAGGGCTGGTTGGGGGCAGCATTGACCACCCAGCTCCTGAGCTGGCCGGAGCCTGGGGGACCCTGGGGACCCCAAGTCAGCAGAGAAGCTGTACAGAGAAGGTGGTCCCTTTATCCGCGCGGAGGGCCTGAACCGGAGAGGGGCAGGCTGGTCCAGGCTGCCCTTTGGGGCACAGGTGGGACCGAGTCCTCAGCACAGGGTGGAGGTGGGAGCACGCAGGAGGAGAGGGGGATACTCTCCGGCAAACGACAAAGGCAGGAGGGCTGTGACCGAGCCCCGGTCAGGTGAGGGGGGCCTCCATCCCATGTAGCCAGGGCAGTGGAGCCTGCCGGGAGCCGGCCCAGCAAGGAAGCGGGCAGCTGAACACTGACTTGGGGTCCCAGTTCCTGAAATCTGACCGGGGATAATGCCAGCCATTCAGCGGGTGCCCCCCTGGGTGCTCCCGGCCGTGGGAGAGGTCACACATGGTTCCTGCACCAGCTGCCCCTCTCCCCCTCCAGCATGGCTGGTGTCCCTCTGTCCCCAGGTCTGAAGGCCCCCCTCACCCTGTTCACCCTCCTGGTCGTGCTGCTCACCATCCTGGTCTGCGTGGCCTACACTTGCTTTGGATGCTTCAGGCACCTCAGCCCGCTGAACTACAAGGTGAGGGGATGTGGGAGGAGCAGGGGGTGGGCACGGGCCCCACTTGTCACAGCCCCGCGAGCTGGTGGCCTTCTCCCCGCCCACCCCTCCCCTACTCCCCGGCGCCCCCCTCCCCCACCCCGCTCCCCGTCCTCGGCTGCTGGGAGCTTGGCACCCGCCGGTCCTGGGATCCCGGCTGTTAACAGTCTGTGTGTTTGGAGGGTGCTAGTTCAGGGAGCCCGGTTTTGTTGATCATGGCGAGTCTCTGCTGTCACCTGCAGATGGAGGACTCAGGGAGTGACAGAGGAAATGAGGCAGACGCCCCCCGGCCGGCACCCTTCACGGTAAGTTCTGCTTCTTCCCGAGCCGGAGTGGCTCCCCGGGGGACGGAAGCGCCTTGATCACGTGGCAGCCATGGTTCCAGAAGGAATCCCTAGTCCCGCGGGACGCTTCACCTGCACAGGCAAAGCCACGTTCCAGAAGGAATGGCTAATCCCTGTGCAAGTGAGGCCACGTGTGGCCAAGGTGCCGCCCCGCCCCCTGGTTTCCGTTTCCGGCCCGGGTTCCTTCTCTGCGGGTTTAATGCCTGCCGCTGGGCCTCTCTGGGAGCGGCCTGGCGGGCGCCTGTGGCCGAGGAAGTGAGCAGGAAACAGGGTTGCCCCAGCGCCTGCCTGCCGCGTGAGGCCCCAGCATCCCCCACAGAGCCAGGGCCTGGCAGCCTTCTCCCCAGCCCCCGCCTCCCCTGGGTCAGGCTGTCCGTAGCGTAGGGCTGTCTGTCCTGGGACCAGCCCCGGCGGAGAGAAGGTTCTTGGACTCATTCCCCCAGGGCACCTGCCCCTGCAGACCAGGGAGGAGGCAGGGCAGGCGGATGGCCCGAATCCCCTTCTCAGCCCGGCTCTGGGGAGGAGCAGAGGCGGAGTGTGGGAGCACTGGGTCTGGAGTCTCCTGCCTGGGCCCCCACTCCCGCTCCGAGCACTCAGGCCCCCCGTTTTCTGGCAGCCCTACATGCCCCGGATTCTGCAGGGCTTGTCCTCGGAGAGAACTGCCCTGTCCCCACAGCGGCGGCAGACCTACGGCGCCATCCACAGCATCAGCGGGACTGTCCCAGGGCCGTGCCTGGCCCGGGGCCCCGGGGCCAGTGACAGTGGGCCGCCCGCCTACCAGGAGGCCTGAGGGCGGCCGGGCCAGGCCCGGAGCCAGGAGAGGAGAGCCAGGCGGAAAAGTGGCCTGACTCAGGCCCCACCTGTTTTAAGCACAGCTGCTCTCAAGAGATGGAACTGGAAAGGTGCGCCTGCCCTTGGCCGAGGAGGACGGGCCAGGACGACCATCGGGTGGTGAGCGCCGGCCTTTCCGGCCGAGCAGCTCTGTGCTCCCGCTCGCTTGCCGGGGGCCCGGCATTTCCAGGTCCCCCTCCTGCACAAATGTCCAGCCGTCCCTGGGGTTTTAGCAGCATCATGTGTTGGAGTTGTGCACCCACAGCCCTGTTTGCTGTGGTGATGGTGCCAGGTACGGGGGAGAGGGGAGAATGCAGGAGCCCCCTGGAGCCCCCAGCTCGAGGCACACACTCAACCAGTGCATAACCAAAGAGCCTGCGGCCATCCAGGCTGGATGGGGTCCAGATGAGGCTGGGGGTTCATGCCGGCTCCCCTCTCCGAATCCAGCCCTCCCCCTCCGGTCCCGGGAGTCCGCTGCGGGAGCAGGAAGGCCATGGGCCAGTCCGGGTTGGGTGGGCTGCGACCTCGGCTGGAAGGGCAGGTGGCCCCTTCCTTTTCCTCCCTGCGGGAGCGGGAACTGCAGCCTCCCACGGCCTCCAGGGGCAAGGGGGCGGTATGCGTGGGGGCCCACCCCGCAGGGGCCGTGTGTGGCCCAGCCCCCGCCACCCCGCTGCCCAGGACACGGGGAGGGGGTGGAGTGTCCTGGAGCCAGCAGGGTCCCCTCCTTAGTCCAGACCGCCGACCGGCCAGGTGTACTGGGGGGCCCCATGTCACCTGGTTCCAGCCACTCTTAGAATAAAATCGTTTATTACCCCTGCTCTCGTGCAGGCAGTGAGCAGGGGCCCGGCAGGGGCGGGAGCAGGCGTGGGGGTGTACACTGTCACCAGGAGAAGATTGGGGAGGGGGGAGGCTCGCTGCTCCTCTGGAGCTGCCCGGGGGGCGGGGGCAGCCTTCGGCGAGGGAGCTGCGGAGTGACAGCCCGCCCTGCGGCCATCAGCCCTGCTCCAGCAGCCCCACGAACTTGCCGATGTCCTGGGCCAGCAGCTCGGGCTCCTCAAAGGCGGCAAAGTGGCCCCCGCGGGCCATGTAGGAGTAGGAGAGGAGTTTTGGGTACTTGAACTTCACCCACTTTTCTGGCACGTGCATTAACTCACAAGGGAAGGCAGCAAAGCCTGTGGGCACGTGGACCTTGATCCTGGAAGACACAGCGATCCCACTGAGGGGTGAGATGGCATCCTGGTCCCCTCTGTCCCCCCGTAGCAGGGGGCTCCGATCACCCTCCCACAGGGAGCCAGAAAGGAAGGAGAGACCAGGGCTCTCACCACCCCCTAGAGCCGCCTTCTCCAGAAGGGCTGGCCAGGCAGAACACGCGGGCTCCCCATCGGCTGAGCCGGACAGGACAGCCGCTAGCCCCCCCAGCTGTGTTCCCCTTTCCCCACCGCTGCCCCCTGAGGGTCCGGAAGTCCAGGACCGCTGATGCCACATGGGGCTGGCCCGGTGTTCCCTTGATGAGCAAAGTGACACCGTGCTCTCATCCCAGGCACCCTGGGCACCTATGGTCCTGCCATCAAAGGACCTCCCTGGGGGTCAAGGGTGGGTGGTCTGGCTGCTCCTGGGGGCCCATCGGCAGGCGGCCCGTGCAGGCTCAGCCAGACTCACCGGTCATGCTTGTTGGCCATGAAGCCCTGGCCCAGGTTCTCCTTGTAGAAGCGCTGGGAGGAGGTGATGGTGCCCGTCGTCCAGTAGAGCATGACGTTGGTCAGCAGGTCGTCCAGGGAGAACTTCCTGCAGAAGCAGCCCCAGAAGGCCCCTCAGTGCCAGGCGCGGCTTTTAGGCTGCGAGCACCGGGGACCCCCGCCCGCCCGGCTTCCTGCTCAGACCTCGGCCGAGGCTGGTGCATTAGTCCCACGGCGCCCGGGCCTGGGGCCGCCAGCTATCAGGACAGCAGGAGACGGGGCAGGCTTGGCCCGGGGCCCTGCGGATACCTCCCCACTTGGCATGGGACCCCACCCAGGCTATGGGGCTTCACACATGGGGAGGAAGGAGCCATCTGGTTCTCACTGTTGGGGCCCGAGGGCTGTAGACCCTGAAACCCCACCTTCTCCTGGCCCCACCTGCTCCTTGGGCTCTGACCTGCTCTGGCTGGGCTCCCTCATGCTACCCTGTGTCCAGAGCCCCCTGGAGCCCTCCATGGCACCCCCCCGTCCAGCTGCTGATGCCATCTTCCGCCCCTCCAGCCTCCAGCCCTCCCCTGCCCACAGTCTGATATCCATGCTACCCAGGCCTGCCTTCCCGCCTCCCCTCTGCCCCGTCTCTCCTGCCCCCGCAATGCCTCGGCACCCCCCACTGCAACTGCTGACCCGCACTTGCCCGTCCCCCCATTCAGGTAGGGGCTTCTCACTTCTCCCTGCTCCCGGGGCTGCTGCTGGGCCTGCTAGTTCTCCCCAGAGCACAGTCATTTCCTCTGGTCCGACCCCTCCCCAGACTCCAGATCTCAGTCTGGTTACCAAGCGAGCACCTCCCACTCAGCATGTCCACGCTGGAAGTGGCCCCTGCATCTCTGCAGAGCCCCTCGTGGACACACACACTCTCAGATGCAAGTGCACCCACACACGCACGCTCACACGTGCACACGTGTCTGTATCCAAACCCACGGGCGCACACACGTGCACACTTCCATCATCCAAATGTGCACACACACTCAGAGGCTCCTCTCCTCATTCCCTATTTCTTGTTTGACAAAGGAAAGGTGTCCCTGCAGCCTGGTAGGGAGGTAGAAATTTCTACTTCTACTGCTGCCTCCCCCCCTCCTCCCTCCCACCCCCCACTGCCCCCTCTGAGCCCTGGCTGTCGCCCCTCCTCCCTCCCACCCCCCACTGCCCCCACTGAGCCCTGGCTGTCCCCCCTCCTCCCTCCCACCCCCCACTGCCCCCACTGAGCCCTGGCTGTCCCTCCTCCCACCCCCCACTGCCCCCACTGAGCCCTGGCTGTTGCCCCTCCTCCCTCCCACCCCCCACTGTCCCCACTGAGCCCTGGCTGTCGCCCCTCCTCCCTCCCACCCCCCACTGTCCCCTCTGAGCCCTGGCTGTCCCCCCTCCTCCCTCCCATACCCCCCACTGTCCCCTCTGAGCCTGGCTGTCCCCCCTCCTCCCTCCCACCCCCCACTGTCCCCTCTGAGCCCTGGCTGTCCCCCCTCCTCCCTCCCACCCCCCACTGTCCCCTCTGAGCCCTGGCTGTCCCCCCTCCTCCCTCCCACCCCCCACTGTCCCCCCTCCTCCCTCCCACCCCCACTGTCCCCTGAGCCCTGGCTGTCCCCCCTCCTCCCTCCCACCCCCCACTGTCCCCTCTGAGCCTGGCTGTCCCCCCTCCTCCCTCCCACCCCCCACTGTCCCCTCTGAGCCCTGGCTGTCCCCCCTCCTCCCTCCCACCCCCCACTGTCCCCTCTGAGCCCTGGCTGTCCCCCCTCCTCCCTCCCACCCCCCACTGTCCTCTGAGCCCTGGCTGTCCCCCCTCCTCCCTCCCACCCCCCACTGTCCCCTCTGAGCCTGGCTGTCGTTCCTCCTCCCTCCCACCCCCCACTGTCCCCTCTGCCCTGGCTGTCCCCTCTCCCCCGTCCCCCCCAGGCCCCGCTGATGTCACTGCGCCTGAATTGAGGAACTTGCCAATGCTCCCACTTGGCTCCCCAGCTCTCAGCCAGTAAGTTTAGTTGATTCATCAGAAGCCGATTTGCCCAAAATGGCCAGTGTGCTGAATTTGCTCGTGTGGTTGTGGTTGGCCATTTTATCCTCAGCACCACAGTTTAAGGAACATTACGCCCTCACCCTGGCCCCGGTCCCAACCAGTGCAGCTCCAGCAGGCGAGGGGCGGGGGGCGCTGGGGGGCGCAGGAGGGGTGCTGGGGGGGCAGGAGGGGCGCTGGGGGATGCAGGAGGGGCTCAGAGGGGCTCTGGGGGGCGCTAAGGGGACTCGGAGTGGGTACTGACATGACACACACAAACACGAAGCATTTGTAAGGGGAGAGGCTTCTCCAAAATGATGAATACATTCGTAAGGCATACTCCCATTCAGAAGTAGCCGTTCCTTGGGGTCTAGCAACAGCAGGACGGGGAAGAAGCGATTCTGAATTGCTCTTTGGAGGACCATGGAAACCAGCCAGTGAGAAGCACAATCAGAATCGTGAATGGTCAGAACCAGCTTTTAGCGAGATGCCCGGGGGCTCCCATCTCCCCATGGGCTCTGATCATAGCTAGCAAACGACCCCACCGACCCTCCCCACCCCAGTGCAGGCAGGGATCTTGCTAGAATACAGAGCTGAGCTAGTCTGTGCCCTGTGTCTGGCTCCAGGTACTGGTGGGCAAGGAGCAGGGCCACCCCTTTGCCAAGGGGCTGCTGGTGGAGCCCCATCACCCCTGGGTCCTGCCCAGTGTGGGGCGGGGAACAGATCCCAGGGTGAGGGCTTGTGCAAGGGCTCACAGCCCGGCCCCCGCGTACCTGCCCCCAGCCTCAGCAAAGTCAGCCTTTCCAAGAGCACCTCGCGTTTCTATCACTCTCACTTTCGCTTCTGCTCTTCTCTCTGCCTAAATTCTCTGCTTCTACCCTTTTCACCGGCAAACTCCTACTCATCCTTCAAGGCCCAGGCCAAATAGATTCTCCCGGTCATTTCCCCTCCCTGCTTGGTAGATGGAGCAGATCCTCTTTTCTCTGGACTTGCACAATCTTCCAGAGCTCATTCGTCTGGTGCATGTTTGTCGAGCTCCCTCCTTCCAGGCGCTGGGGCTAGAGCACGACCTAGACACGGTCCCCGTGGCAGAGGTGGGAGCCAGCCCCACCTCACCCCTCTCCCACTGCAGCGAGGTGTCTGGTGCTCTGCGTGCCCCCAGGGCAACAAAGAGGGGGAGGGGTCCTGGAGAAGCTGGGTCAGGGCTGACCTTGGTGGCGCCTGAGTCAGGCCAGAGGCCCGGGAGTCACCCTGCAGCTGCCTCCAGGCTTCCCCCAGGGCACACGGTCAGGAGGCCGTGATGATGCCAGGCTCCCCTGGGCTTGGGCGTGGGCGGGGGGCCCTGGCTGCTCACGCCTCTTGGCAATAAAGGGGCGCTCACCCCCCGGGCCTGCTGATCCCAGGAGGGGGATATCGAGCAAACGGACCATAGACAGTCTCGAGCCCTGTGTCCTATTCCCAACCACTCCACTGGGAGGCTTGGAGCGAGTCACTAGACCTCTCTCTGCCTCCGCTTCCTCATCTGGAGGAACTGGGGCCGGGTTCACCGGGGTGAGGGCCTGAGGGGCACCCAGCAGTAGCTGGGACATGCTGGCTGGCGGCTGGAAGGTAGGGTCTCACCTATCCAGGCCTCCGTCTTCCAGGTCTCGGAACTCCGGGTTGGTCCAGGTGGAAAACTTCTCCAGGATATAGGCAGCCAGGCCCACGGGAGAGTCGTTCAGAGCGCAGCCTGGGGTGGGGAGAAGTGAGGGAGGGACTCAGGCCTGGGACCAGCGAGCGGTCAGCACCCCGTCGGGGCACAGCTCTGCCCTAACCCTGGGGTGCTCAGGCACCCCCATCTACTTAACCATTGGCCTCGGAACTCTCATCTGAGAAAAAGGGGTAACACCGCCCCCACTGCATGGGCAGCTTCCCGCGTTTGGGGAGATCCAGATGGGAAATATGTATGAATGCTGGTTTTAAAAAGGTGGGGTTTGGGACACCTGGCTGGCTCGGTCCGAAGAGCATGCAACTCTTGATCCTGGGGTCGTTGAGTTTGAGCCCCACGTTGGGTATAGAGATTACTTAAATAAACAAACTTAAAAAAAAAAAGGTGAGGTTTTTAGTTTATATGCTCTGGTTTGTGAAAACTAAGAAACAACCTAAAAGTCCAAATTAGGGGAAAAGTTCCAAATGAATATCGACCCCCTCCACCCGCCCCAGTCCTGGAGCTGCCAGGTCCCCAGGCTCCCTCCTCAACTCAGGCTCAGGGTGCAGGGGTCAGGGGTCAAGGCCCCGGGGCACACCGAATCAGATCGAACAGGTGTTTGGAATGCGCTGGCCATGCATCGACTGACCTCTGCCTAGAAGTGCAGGGTGAGAAAGAGTTCGGGGCCCTCCCAGGAGGTTTTCATCCTGGAGCAGTGTTGCTGGGTGGGTAAGGCCCCCTGGCCATGCGCCTGGCTGAATGGGAGGGGTGTGGCTCCCGCCCCAGCAGAGAAGGCCGCAGCATCCGGAGCACGCACTCACCCACAGTGTCGGGTTTGGTGCCCTGGATGTGCATATAACCGCTCTCCCTCATCAAGCTGTAGAAAACCTTCTCCTTGAAGGGGTACAGCAGCTCTATATCCCTCTGGGTGTAGCCGAAAAACCTCGGGAAACGCCATCCCAGGAGAAGGGTCAGGGTGCCGGGATTTAAAACGAAAGCCATGTTCAAATGCAGGCCTTTCACGTGGCTGAGGGCGGAGAGAGGGTCCAGGTGAAGCTGATGCAGGGCTGGGGAGGGGAGACGAGCAGGAGGCCACGGGGCTGAGGTGCGCAGCGCCAGCCCTCTTGGAATCTGCGCCTCTGGGGTGGCCCCATGATGGGGAGGAGGGGGTTGGCGAGGAAAATACAGAGTTTCTAGGAAGTTCTGGGCTCTTCTGGGGCTTGGTGCACCAGAAATGTCTACTGCCTGACTTTCCCCTCCTCTATCTGGCCCTTTCTGCCTGGGCACCTGGCCCAGAGTTCCCAACCCTGTGTGACACCCAATAGAGAGAGAATCCACGTCAAGGTACCCCAGGCATGGCAGGGTGATGGGCGGGCCTCCCTCCCCTGCTCCAGGCCCACAGACACCCCGCCTGGGTGGCCCCTGGCAAGAGGACGCTCTAAGTCTCAGATAGCGTGCCCAGGCGGAATCCCCTGCATGGATGGCTGCCCCACCCACCTGACAGGGACCCTCACCTGGGCACCATCTGGGCCATGTTGGTGCAGATCAGGGACCCCCAATCCCCGCCCTGAACATAGAATTCCTGGAAGCCCAGCCGTAGCATCAGCTTATAAAAGATCCTGGCCGTGGCCACTGAATTCAAGCCTGGTTTGAAGGGGAGAGAGAACAGAGTCACAGGGAGGTCACTCCCTTGGTCCTCTTGGGCTCCTAGGAAATTCCTCACCTCCCCCCACCCCGTTTGCCCCAGGCTGGGGTCACAGTGGCTCACGGGAGGGGAGAAGGAGTCCGGGGGCCCCACGGCGGCATGGCCAGCACCCAGCAGGCAGCCTGGGCATCTGCGTTGCAGAGAGGGACAGCGAGGGGACGGCCACACAGCAAGGCCATGGTGGGCTCGGGCCAGCACCACGAGGTTCTGGAGGCCCTGCTGCCCGTGGGCTGGCCTGGGCTCTGGGCTGCTCTGCCCATCCCCTGCCCACGGCACCCGGCAGAGCCCCAGAAGGGGCGCTGGCCATCTGGCCCCCCAGGCTCCGAAGGGAGCTGTCCTGGCTGGCTCCCCGCCTGTGGGAAGACCTGGCCCCCAGCAGCCCCTGTACCCTTTTTGGAGGATGCCTCTGAGAAGCCGTAGCCAGGAATGGAAGGGCAGATAACTTCAAAAATGTGCTCCTCGCTCAGGCCGTGGTTCCTGGGGTCAGTCAGGAGCGGGATGATCTTATAAAACTCGTAGAAGGAGCCGGGCCAGCCGTGCACCATCAGCAAGGGCTTCGGGGTGCAGCCGGATGGCGGCTGGTGGGGCTTCACGTGGATGAAGTGGATGTCCAGCCCTGGGGGGCAGAGCACGGTCAGCTAGCAGGGAGGGGGGAGGCCCCGCAACGGGGGAGGCTGCAGCCACAGCCCTCCGCGTGTCCAGGCAGGCTCTGCACCCCCCCCCGCCCCCCCAGAGCCCGGGCAGTGGGGGCGGCGCCCTCAGGGGCCCACGGTGCTGGGCTGGCTGCGTGCCTACTCAATGCTCCAGCCGCACAGCCGCCTTGCCATGGACAGACCGTGACCATGCCCCTACACATCAGGGCACGAGCCCTGCCAGGCCGGGGCAGGGCTGCTCGTGCACTGCCCGCTTCCCAGAGCCCAGCGCAGGTCCTGGCTCCTGGTGGCCCTCGGGGAAGGCTGCCTAATAATGTGAAGACCGGGGCAGGGGCGCCCAGCCGGCTCGGTCGGTAGAGCACATGACTCCTGATCTTGGGGTTGTAAGTTCGAGCCCCGTGCTCGGTGTAGAGATCACTTAAATATAAAACCTTTAAAAAATAAAAAAAAGATTGAGGGACATCTGGGTGGCTCAGACGTTAAGCGTCTGCCTTTGGCTTAGGTCATGATCCCAGGGTCCTGGGATCGAGCCCCACGTCAGGCTCCCTGCTTGGCAGGGAGTCTGCTTCTCCCTCTGACCCTCCCCCCTCTCATGTGTGCTCTTTCTCTCAAATAAATAAATAAAATCTTTAAAAAAAAGTTTTCTCTGAGCAATAAAATTTCAAGTGAATTTTTTTTTTTTAATGATTTTATGTATTTATTTGAGAGAGAAACAGAGAGAGCACAAGTGGGGGGTGGTGGGGGCAGAGGGAGAAGCAGGCTTCCTGCTGAGCAGGGAGCCCGACGCAGGGCTCGATCCCATGACCCTGAGATCATGACCTGAGCCGAAGGCAGATGTTTAACCGACTGAACCACCCAGGTGCCCCTGAATTATTTGCTTTTTTTGTGTTTTCTGTACTTCCTAATTTTTCAACAAGGGATATAAATTCAAAGCATAACTTTAAGTGGAGACATTTTTTTAAAGTTGAGTTGCGTGCTGGGCACTGGGAACACATCCAGGCCGAGGGTGGCTGACTGGGCTCCAGGCCCCCCAGAGTCCCTTCGAGGATGGTCCCTTCCCAGGCAAGTGGCCCGGAGAGCACCTGGGCGTTCAGGGCAAACAGCCTGCGCTGCCGTCACACCTGCAGCCCTGCACCACAACCAGCTCACGTTCTGGTGGGTTATTAATTCATTACATAAATAATATATGTTTACTGTAAGAAACGGAAAACAGATAAATCAAAGGGGGAAAAATCACATGTAGTACCACTATCTGGAGAGAACACTGTGTTGTCTTTCCAAATTTTTAAAAATAAATTTGTTATTTTGGAACAATTTATTTTAAGGGATCCCTAATGCCCAAGGTGGGGCTCGAATGCATGACCCCAAGGTCAAGACTAGCATGTTTCGGGGCACCTGGGTGGCTCAGTCGGTTAAGCGTCTGACTCTTGGTTTTGGCTCAGGTCTTGATCTCACAGTGGAGCCTACATAAAAAAAAAAAAGTCTCACGCTCCATGGAGCCAGCCAGGCGCCCTGATCTTGGAACAATTTCAGATTTATAGAAAAATAGTGAGGATAGTACAGGAAGTTCCTATGAACCCACACCCAGTTTCCCGGTCATTAACGGCTTACATTAGTCCGGTACATTTGTTACAAGGAACGAACCAGTACTGATACGTTAATAACTCCACTAAAGTCCATCATTTATTCAGATCTCCTTAGTTTTAGAAACATTTTTATTTTTAAAATTTTATGGTAGGAAGAGCATTTAGTCCCTCCTTACAAATCGCTGAGTGTGCCATCCAGTACCGCCGGCTGTGGGCACTATGCGGCCTGTCAGGTGTCTAGAACTTACTCATCTGGCATAACTGAGGCCCTATACCTGTTACCGAGCGTCTCCCCATCTCCCCGCTTCCCCACTTCCCGGGTCCCACCTCCTCCTCTCTGCTTCTACGAGCTGGACAATCTGGGAGCCCCCCATACGTGGGATCGTGCGGTATTTGTGCTTGTATGACCAGCTTGTTTCACTCAGCAGAATGTCCAGGTTCATCCACGTGGTCACCTAGGGCAGGGTTTCCTTCTTCTTAAAGGCTGAATAACACTGGTGTCCACAGACAACGGAACACAGCTCAAATGTCCTGAGTTTTTACCTGACGTCCTTTCCCTGTTCCAGGATCCCATCCAGGACCCCACATTATGTTCAATTGTCTTGTCTCCTTAGACTCCTCTGGACTGTGGCAGTTCAGACTTTCTTTTTTTTAAAAATTTATTTGAGAGAGAGCAAGAGAGCAAGAGAGAGCACACACAAGTGGAGGGAGGGGCAGAGGGAGAGGGAGAGAGACTCTCAAGCGAACTCTGAGCTGAGCGAGGAGCCCGACCTGGGGCTCTATCTCACGACCCCAAGATCACGACCTGAGCTGAAACCAAGAGACAGACGCTCAACCGAGGGAGCCCCCCAGGCGCCCCCAGTTCAGACTTTAAAAAAAAAAAACATCATAACTTTCTTCAAACAAAAATAGAACCCTACATCCATTCTATCGTGGAGCCTTCTGTGCATGTCCCTCTATGTTGCTGTGTTTACTCCTGTTCTAGAGTTCTTTTCGGAAGTAACCTTCCCTCCTTCGGAACACGCTGCACGATGTGAGGGATTTCTAATGCATCTGCGTCCAGAGTTGGGGAGCCCCATGCGCACACACGTGGGCCGGAGTGCATGGGCGATCCCCGGAGGCGTGGGTGTGAGCACGTGTGTGAGGGCAGAAGCATCCCGGGGCGGGAACCGGTGGCCACGGGGGGCAGGGGCGAGACCGAGGCTGCTTTTTCACCGTGTCCTTGCATACTGTTCGAATTTTAAATACTTGAATTTTAAAAATGAAGAAAAATGTTAAAACCCATACTTCCTCATTGACTCTGCAGGGGGCTTCCCTCAGCGGAGGAAGCAAGCCGCCCTCCCCGCCGGCCAGGTTTTCCCGGTTTGTCTATGGTGCTGTGGGGTGCTCCAGGCTGTCCGCTCTGAACCCAGGAGCTGAGCTGGGCACTGGGCCTGGTGGGTGGTGACGGGGGGGACGGTGGGGGATGTCAGGGCCCAGGGCCTGAGCCGGGACAGGGGCTCGAGATGAAGGGTACAGGGCCGAGCTGGCCCTGGCCCTGAACCTCGGCCTCCCGGTGACTCAGCAATGCTGTCCTCTCTGGAGGGGATGGGCTGGGCCTGAGGCCTCCGAGGCCCTGCCTGCTTGCTCCCAGACTCTGTGGCTAGAGATTGATCTCCGGAGGAAGGCCCAGGCCTCCTCACAGGACAGGGAATCACATGCAGAGCCCAGAATACTGGGGTAGGGGCAGAGAGGACTCCAGAAAAGTCTGAGCCTGAGGGACCAACGAGGACGGCAGCAGACGGAGGGAGGAGGGAGGCCTTCTTGGACCACCCAGCCCGGGGACCCAGGGAAAGATGCACGGAGTTGTGCTGGGCCGGGGCCGGGCCACGAGCCAGGGGAGGCCGCTGGCCCGCACGTGGGTTCAGTCGCAGCGGGCTGCGGTCTGGGAGGACTCGATGCCCGAAGTCGCCCCCTTTGGAGCGCTTACACTGTTTTGTGCTGTGATGTCCAGGGGGTAAGGCTTTCTCGAGCCTGCAGCCTCCAGGAAGGGAAGAGCCCCTTTGTGCTGCTTGCCTCTGGGTTTTTGAATGTGCTGTTCCCTCCTCCTGGACCACCCTCCCCACATAAGTGGCAAACTCCTATTCATCCTTTAAGTCTCAGCTCAGATGCCACCTCCTCTAGGAAGCCTTCTGTCACACTCCTGGGTGGCATGGGCTCACAAAGCTCCCAGAGCCTCCTCCCTCACAGAACCCCTTACCCTGTGCTGGGATGGTTAGCATCACCCCAGAGTGAGGGCAGGGACCCCGTTCTCTGGCTGTGTGTCCCCAACCTCAGCAGAACGCCTGGGTCCATGACACACCTGCCTGTCAGCATCTGCTAGAGGACCAGTGAGGAGCTGGGACAGCAGAGTCACCTAATCACCATGAGGAGGCCAGGCCATCTGGCACCAGCGATGCGAAAGGCAACCTTTGGAAATGACATATGAGGACCTGTATGTACTTTGACTTGGATGAAGTGGCCTGGCCCTCTTGTGAGGCTCATGATGAAGACATCAAAGTCCCCTAAGGGACACAGCATCCATTGATTTATGTGTAAAATTAGTCCTCACCTTATTAAAGCTACAAATTTAAAAACCTAGCTCTCTATTAAGCCTGAGTTCAACTTACAAATATTGTTCTCTCTATATTGTTCAAATTTTATTATTATTTTTTAAAGATTCTATTTTTAAGTCATCTCTACACCCAGCAGGGGAGCTCGAACTCACGAACCCCTGAGATCAAGAGTCACATGACTCTCCCGACTAAGCCAGCCGGGCATCCCTTATATATTTATTTAATCTAAGCAATGTTGACAGTTATTCTCCAGAGGCCTCTGATTAATGGATGGTTGCATTTCTAAACTTGCTTAATGATGCTCCTTTAAACACAGCATAATTTCAATTTCCTTTTTACGAACTTTAGTTGATCTGTCTGACCCATATGTCTTCCACATACTTTAAGTTAATTCTCAGAATTTTGGTAGATTTATAACTATGGTAAATCCTAAATCTTCCAACACTGCATATAAGCTCAGGGAGATTTTCACATAAAATCACAGATCTAAACCCATTACTCAGTTACACACTCTAAATTAGAATGCAAAAGTCTTGTTGTTACTGGGAAAGGCCAAATTCCCTCAAACATGACGATTATTTACAATTCCAAAAATGGGGGCGCCTGGGTGGCTCAGACAGTTGAGCGTCTGCCTTCAGCTCAGGTCATGATCTCAGGGTCCTGGGATCAAGCCCCGTGTCGGGCTCCTTGCTCAGCGGGGAGTTTGCTTCTCCCTCTGCTGCTCCCCCGGCTTGTGCTCTCTCTCTTTCTCGAATAAATAAATGAAATCTTAAAAAAGGAAGGAAAACCTGATAGCTGCTACAACACGAATGAACTCTGAGGACCTGGTGCCGAGCGCAGCAAGCCAGGCAGAAGGACAAACGCTCTACTCATATGAGGTATTCAGGTACAGAATTCGTATTTAAATTCAGAGACAGAAAGTAGAATGATGGCTTCCAGAGGCGAGGGAAAGGGGAGAAATGGGGATTACTGTTTAATGGGACAGAGTTTCAGCTTTTTAAAATAAAAAAGTTCTGAAGATGGATGGTGGGGATGGTTGCATAAGGATAAAATGTGCTGAATGCCCCTGTACCAGGGTATTATACTTGCCTGACAGTGGTCGAAATGATGAATTTTCTGTAATGTATGTTTTATGATAATTAAAAATAAATAGATTTTTAAAAAGTAACACTATGAGCTTGAATTTCCTAAATATTCTAGGTGCTTTTTAAAGATTTTATCTTTTATTTTATTATTATTTTTAAAGATTTTGTTTTTAAGTCATCTGTATACCATAACCCGGAGATCAAGAGTTGCACACTCCACCGACCAAGCCAGCCAGGAGCCCCAACACTTCTGTATGATTCTGAATCTTTCTGGGGTTAAGATACGCTTTTCCAACAGACAGACCAGTGGAACAGAACTGAGAGCCCGGAAATAAACCCAGGCATATACAGTTAACCAATCTTTGACAAGGACACTGAATGGGAGAGAAGACAGTCTCTTGAATCAGTGGCGCCGGGATAATTAGGTATTCACATGAAAAACAATGGAGCTGGACCCCTACCTCACACCACTCACAAAAATTAACTCGAAATGGATCAAAGACTTAAATGTAAGACCTGAAACCACGAAACCCCTGGAAGGAAACACAGACACAGCTCTCCCAACGTGGGTCCTGGTGATGGTTTCTTGCATGTGACACCTAAAGCTCAAGCAACTGAAGCAAAAATAAACAAGTGGACAACATCAAACTAAAAAGCTTCTGCACAGCAAAGACAACCTGTGGAACGGGAGAAAATATTTGCAAACCATACGTTTGATAAGGGGTTAATCTCCAAAATATAGAAAGAACTCATCGACTCAGTAGCAGAAACACCACCCAATTAAAACATTGGCAAAGGACCTGAACAGACGCTTCACCGGAGAAGACATCCAGACGGCCAACAGACACATGAAAGGATGCTCAACATCACTCATCCTCAGGCAAATGCAAATCGAAACCACAGTGAGATCCCACCTCACACCTGTCAGAATGGCCATGATCAAAAAGATAAAAACACAAGAGATACCAGTGTTAGCAAGGATGTGGAGAAAAGGGAACCCTCTTACACTGTTGGTGGGAGTGCAAACTGGTGCAGCCACTCTGGAAAACAGTATGGAGGTTCCTCAAAAAATGAAAAACAGAACGACCATATGGTCCAGCAATTCCCATTTTGGGGAATATATATATATAAAAATGAAAACAATTCAAAAAGACATCTGCACCCCATGTTCACTGAAGCATTATTTACAGTAGCCAAGACACGTCTATGGATGGATGAACAGATCGAGACATTGTGGTATAAATGTGCACAATGGAATATTATTCAGCCATAAAAAAAACGAGGAAGTCCTACCACTCGTGACAATATGACGCCTTCATTACGCTAAGTGAAATAAGCCAGACAGAGAAAGGATCTCACTGATGTGTGGGATCTAAAACAACAAACAACAAACTCAGAAAAAGAGATCAGATGTGTGGTTACCAGAGGGGGGGTGGGGGGACTGGAGGAAGGGGTCAGAGGGTCCAAACCCCAGGTGCATGGTAAGTAAGCACGGGGGGTGTTGCGTAGCCGACATGCTGTGGGCTTGGAGGGAAGCTAAAATCCTGAGTTCTCGCCATGAGGAGGAAAGTGTTTTCTCTCTTTGTATTGGATCTGTACAAGCAACTGGACGTTAGCAGAACCTGCTGTGGTGATCATTTCACACCAAATATAAACCAAACCCTCACACCGTATGCCTCAACCTCACACCATGACGGGTCTCAATTATTTCTCAGACTGGGGAAAAATGCTTTTCCACTGAGGAAACTGTTCCCTCAGCCCAAACGATCTTGGGGTGACCTTGCCCAGACAATCTGAGAGGCGCCTTCCCTGCAGGCGAAGCTGTGGGACCACGTACCCCCCAGGGGGCACATGAGGTGGAGGGCTGCAGACAGAAAGGGCAATTTCTCGTAGGACTCTGTCTGATGGGCCGAGCAGCCTGAGCAGACACGGTACCCTGGACTCAAAACCTCGGGCGGGGTTGAGCTGCCCGAGGCCACGCTCTCTCCTTTCCAAGGCTGTTCCATCGCTGGGCCCGATTCTGCATTTCTTTGGCTTTTCAATGACCTCTGTGTTTCCCTGCCTTGCTCGAGGGCCCGCTGGGTTTGTGGGGATTCGGCATTCTTTCTGCCCCAGCGAGGTGACCCTACAAATACATCTGGAGGACCGGTATTTGGATTCTAGGTGGGGTCTAAGTCACGCCCCGCAACTGCGGAGGCCGCTCCCACGACAGACCGCCCTCACCAGCTGCTGTTGAGCAAACCTACCTTCAATCTTCGTCTTGAAGTGAGGGTACCTGTTGAGAATCTCCACCTGCTTCCTCCAGTCGAAGCCATTCCGCCAGTAGGAAAGGACTTTCCTCAGGTACTTGGAGTTGAAGCCAAAATGGAAGCGCACGTCCTCCAAAGGTGGGGTCAAACGGACCCTGTCGATCCTCCAGTGTAAGTCCTGGAGCAAAATGCGGGACCCCGGGGAGGGAGAGGGGTTGGGGGGTGGGGCAGAGCACAGAGCAGGTTTGTTTCCAGAACGCAGAGGAAGCCTGCAGTGACAAGACAGCGAGACAGCAGAGGAAAGCCGCCTCGTCCTGTTGGAGGGTGAGGAGGCCGCTGGTCTGCAGATGTGCGTGCTGGGCTGCCAGGTTCACCCCAGAAGGAGCCTCCTTGTTTCCCACAACAGCGGCTGTTCCCAAAGCCTATGTTCTTCGCTTTTAAAAAAATTAGAGAGAGAGAGCGCGCGCGTGTGCACTTGCAACGGGGAGGGCAGAGGGAGAGAGAATCTTAAGCAGCCTCCCCCTGAGCGCAGAGCCCGATGCAGGACTCGATCCCGGGGCCCGGAGATCACGACCCGAGCTGAAACCAAGAGTCAGCTCCTGAGCCGATGGAGCCCCCCAGGCGCCCCTATGTTCTTCACCTTTGACTTCATGTTTACTTCTCTTTGTTTTTAACCCCATGAATGACACGCATCTTTAAGTTCTCTGGGCTTACGCGTGGCCGGCAAACCTTTTGTCAGAGGCCAGACAGTAACTATTTTAGGCTTTTCTCGCGGCCACTGGGCCACTCTGTCCCCGGAGCCTGGAAGCAGCTGGAGGCAGGGCGCGGACGAACGGACATGGCTGTGTGCCAGTAACACTTTATTTACAGACACTGAAATCCGTGTGCCATGCACAGTTCACCCATCCCGAGACTGCTCTTTTTGGATTGTTTTCAGCCGTTTAAAGATGGAAAAGCTCTTCCTAGCATGGGGGCTGTATAAACAGGTGGCAGGACAGACATGTCCCATGGGCTGTGGTCAGCAGACTCCGAGCCTCAGCACTGAGGGAACCACGGTACCTCCGTTGGGATCAAGACACAGACCAGGAGAGAAGGCGCAAGCCGACCGGCCGAGCATTGGGCTAGGATGTCCGCGTCCGCTCCTGGGGCCTCCCAAGTGTTACCTTCTCAGTCAGCGTCCTCCCGAGCACTCCAGGAGCCCAGGGTTCAGATGTTTGAGACTGAGTCTGAGAAGCCATGGAAGGCGTTATCCTCAGGGCCCAGCCTCCGCCCTGAACAGTGAGGCGGCGGCAGCCCTACCCAAGGACGTCCGCCTGCTTTCTCTTGGGTGCAGCCCGCTTTCTGCTTCTTGAAAGCTCACTTTTTATTGGCACGTCTTACAGCATCCTACCTCACTGATCCCTCAGTTACCTTTCCTCCCTGCCCAGTCCTTCTCTCGACTACGGGACTATGAGGGAACGGCGGGAAGGGCCTCTCTCTCCACCGGGCACCCAGCACCGCACCTGCATACAGCAGGTGCTCCGATATGCATAGCCCGAGAGCAGGAATGGGTGGGGATGTCCCGGGTCCCATTCACCCTCCTGGCCCAGGATCCCACCCCACTGGGCACGGCCCCCTAACTCCAGCATGGGGAGGGGCACAAGCTCTGGAGTTGGATGGACTCGAGTTTGAATCCTGCTTATTATCTCAGTCACCTGGGGTAAATTGCTTTACCTCTCTGAGCTTCAATTTCTGCACCTGTAGAAGGAACGCCAGTCCTCACCCTACAGGGTCACTGCAGGGACTGAACGTGACCACAAGCACCTGGCACACAGCAGGCGCATAATTAATGCTGACCCTGCGGCAGCTTCTCTGTACCCGAGCATTTGATGTCACCATGGCTTGCTTCTCACTTAGGACCTCCGCCCGGGGCCCTGATGAGAACCTGCTGGCTTTCTCTTGCAAGCTCACTCCCAGGGTTTCATGGGGGCGCAAAGGAGGAGGAAGCTGCTTTCTGTGACCTTCGATGCAGGTGCCCGGGGCCAGCTGGCACGCCCCTCTCACCTGGGCCCTGCTGGGCCTTGGGCAGGGGAAGGAGGAGACAGAGGAGGAAGGAGCAGAGGGGACGGTGGGCAGGGGTCAGGCTCTGCACCTGCCCAGTGGGAGAAAAGCAGAGGGAAACCCGCTCCCCAGGTCTGTCCCAGCCGCAGCCTCATGGGAACCATTGAAGGGGCCTTGCTGCCCTCCCCTCTGCTCAGCCCCCTGCAAAAGGTGCCTTACCTCGATCTCCTCCTCGGAAGTCTCGACCTTGAAAGGGCGGATGCTCTCGTCCTCTGCAGCTGCGGGCCTCGCCCCAGGCCCCCACCACCCATCTTCAAGAGGCAACGTTTCCTCCTTGTCCCGGGAAACAAACCAGTAGATGACAAAACCCAGCACAGAGGTGAGGAGAATTTCCAGCCACATGATTCCTGCAAGAGCGAGGAGACGCTGAATCCCCACCTGCTCTCCCACCTGGCCCCTGACGTCATATACTTTTTTTTTAAAGTAAGCACCACGCCCAGCACGGAGCCCAGTGTGGGGCTCGAACTCATGACCCTGAGACCAAGACCCAAGCTGAGATCAATAGTCGGACCCTTAACTGACTGAGCACCCCAGACCTCAGGTACTTCTAACCTAGAAAAAGAATATAAGCACATAGAAGAACCGGAAACCAAGAAAAAAAAAGACAAGATTCATCTGTAATTCTACTGAGCTATGAAATTCATTCTTCAAATTAGAAATATATGGACTCAGGGCAGCTTCTCCATAAGCCCCGGGTGTGGGGGCTGCACTTCCACGGCCTTGCGTTTCTCTGAGGGGCCTTCAACGCTGGAAGCTTCTCTCCACCCTCCTGAGCTCCTCCATCCCCCAGGAGAGCTGGGCTCCGGAGGCTCTGCCCCTTACTGTCTCTGGAGGGACTTGTCCCCATGCACATCGGGAACCAGCAGGGAGGTTCAGGGGGTGTCACAGGGGGAGTGTTACAAGGCCCGAACACGGCCATACGTCTCAGCTGTAATTTTAAAACAGTTTTAGGAGATGGAATTCACATGATGTACAATCCACCTGCCTCAAGTGTAGGATCTGGTGATTTTTAATGCATTCGCAGCTACGTGCGGCCAGAACTACCATTTTAGAACATTTCCATTACCACAAAGAGAAACTCCGTAGGTCTCAGCCCCTTGATGTCCCTATGGCGGCCCAGCCCTAGGCAACCACGAACCCCCTTTCTGTCTGTGTAGACCCACCTATCACGTTCGTAGAAGCTGTCCAAGTCCTCTTTGCTGAAGGACCTGCTGGGGCCTTGCCGAGGCCCTGAGGTTGGCTCCTGCCGCAGCCGCCCCCCTAAACCGGGCCACCGGGGGGCTGGTCCTTGAAATCCTGGTCCACGGGCGTCCAGAAATCACAGGCTCCCTGCCCTTCCCGCAGCACCTCAGAGATCGAAAGTCCCTTGCTGTCCCCACCCCACTGATACAGGGGACAGGTGTGTGCCCCCCTCCCCCCCAGGCCTTCTCGCTGCTGGGGGCTTGCGATCTGGGCAGGTGACAGGCAGTGTTGGGGAGGGCTTCCTCCGGGCTCTGCTCGGAGCACTCTGTGCCATTCAGCTCACCTAATTATTGTAATAGGCCCATTTTACAGATGAGGAAATGAAGGCTAAGCAGTGTGTCCAAGCCCGAAGAGCCCGCAGATGGGGGAGGCAGGTTCCCAAACTGGATGGACACCCTCCCACCTTACTCCCCACGCTTGGTTACGCGGGGAAGATTTCTCTGCACAATGGAACTGTGTGCCTCTCGAAGGCAGGGAGGATGTCCTTTGCCGCCCTAAACTCTCTCTGTTTCCCTCTAAGGTGGCACGGCGACGTGGACGGCACCACCACAACTGTAAGGGAGCTAGCTCCTAGAGAGAAACTAGGATAAATCAAAACCTTGCAGGAGAATTTCCTACAATCTCTGGAAAACGGGCAGAATCTACTAGAACTGGACCTTGACGAAGTCTGTGACTCAGCAATTACCCCAGGTATAGACCTGCCCTGAACGTGTGCACATTTGCTAAAAGCCATAAACAGCAGCTCTATCTGTGCAGCCCCCCAAACTAGAAATGACCCAACGCCACCCATTCCGGATCACGGGGTCTTCACGATAGCACCCCACACTATGAGACGGTGCCAAGCCGGAGAGCCAGACGCAAGAGAGCACACGTGGCCTGATTCCCTTTATAGAAAGGAAAGGACAAGCACGACCGTAATCTACGGCGAGACTCCGGGAAGGTGTTTTCCTCAGGCGGCGGGGCGGGGCCGGCACTCACGGCTGTTAAAGTCCCGTGTGATTACAAAGTGTGGAAGGGACAGGTCTGCAAGCGGCCCAGGGAAGAGAGACGCGAAGAGCAAGGCTCGGGCAGGAGCAGGGCACAAGTCAGGGGTGCGCAGAGCCGTCGCCGCAGGGACACTCTGTTAGGAGCCAGGGTGGCCACGGTCACGGGCCCCCCGAGCCTGCATGCTGCCCCTCAACTGCGGCAACCCAACTGGGCTCTGGTTCTTTACTCAGCAAGACAGGCAGCCTGGTTCCCGGAAGCTGGGGGTGCACGGGAGGGCTGACCCGATCGCTGGGTCCCCTGGCGGGGGCGACACACTATCTTCCAGCCCCACCACACGCCAAGTGACACGCAGACCCCTTGTGGGTTTGGGGAAGCACCGTGATCCATCTGGGTATCACCGTTTGAGGATCCGGTGTGGCTTTCCCGGAGAACCCCCATTCCGTGGTACACCCCCCCAAGAGAAACTCTGACCACCCTGACTTTAAGAACTGGAACATCTTGGGGTTTACAAAAAGGGAGCTTCTACTGTTTCCGGCAGTTGAAATCCCAGTGCTACCGCTTTCCCGCGAGCTACCAAACCACCCTGCACATTTGTGGCCTCGTAAACTGGGGGTAACCATGCCCGGCTCAAAGCAGGTGCTCCGCCAATGTGCCTTCCTTCCCCTGAATCCCTTTTTACTGTGCACAATCTTCAGGCTGGCAGAGACCCCAGGGGACACCGTCTCTATTAGACAAATGAGCCCGCACCCCAGAGCCGTGCATGACACGGGCACCTGCCATCTGGGAGTATCTTCTCCCCAAGGACGTGGCTTGGGAGGATGGAGGCAGTGCGATGGGACCTCTGGCCATCTGCATCCTGAAACCCCTGTCCCTGGGCAGGTGCCCGTCTTTGTTTCCGTCTGTCCTGAGAAGCTGCAATTCTCAGCCCTGGGGGCAGATTTCTGTCTGGCCTTCACGTTTTCAGGGAGAGCTCTTGCACAGGGTCAGCTCCTGCTGGGGTAGAAAACACTCCACCCCCTTCAAAACATCAAGGTTCAGGAGCCACTGTGAAAACTTCAGAAGAGTCATGCGATGCAGAAGCAGCAGGCCTGCTTCGTGGGGCGGGCTCCTGCTACCCGAGCCTGGGAGGCACGCTCTGAAAGCTCCCGAGACGTATTCGACCTGACTGCATTGCCCTGTGTTGTTTGGTTCGTAATGCACTTTCCCAGAACCCAGACCAAACACTCTGCTGGGAGAGCTGGGGGAGCAGAGGGGAGGAAGTCTTTCCCAACGAAAGCATTTTTTCCTTGGAGTTAGGCTACCCTTCCTAAAAAAGAGATCAGCTTGCCTCATAAGGAAAATGTACTTTTTGTTGTAAACCAGCCTGATTTCTTTCTTTCTTGTTTAGCATAATACCTGACAGCGGTCATGTGGTTACAGGAGACTGTGCTCAGAGGGACGTTGAGGACTCGGATAAGAAACGAGATCCTATGGAGTTTAAATCCCCAAATTCTTCCCTGAGGTCAAGTTCTGGACACATACTTATGCAACCGGGGGGAAAAAATCACGATCGGGGCGCCTGGTGGCTCCATCGGTTGAGCGTCTGCCTTCGGCTCATGTCATGATCCCAGGGTCCTGGGATCGAGCCCCACATCGGGATCCCTGCTCAGCGGGAAGCCTGCTTCTCCCTCTGCCCCTCACTGGCTTATGCTCTCTCTCTCTCCCTCACTCTCTCTCAAATAAATAAATAAATAAAATCTTAAAAAAAATCAGGGATCAGTTTGCAGCGAAGTTACTTGGGCAATATGGTGACCTTAGGACTGAACGTAAAGTACTTGAAAGTGACAAGGGAAGCCCCCGGGGCAGTGAACTGTTTCCTCCTGCCTTGCTGGGTCTGACTTAGGAAGCACAACTCTAAATGCAGGAGGGCAAATAAAGGAGGCGCTTCCGTCTGCCACATGGCTGAAAAGAACATTAGTCTGATAATTTTACCGAATGCCATCTCTCTGTTGTGCTTGGGGCAAAAACACAAGTTTAAAAACAGACAATTCATTTAAGGACTGAGACTAAAAGCTCCACTCTTTTCTTGTAACTTGAATTTGGTCTGTATAAAGTATCAGGAAGTCATGTATTCTTGTAAAGTAAATGGGAGATTTGGATTGGTGCCTTGGAAAAGTAAGGATCGCTTTGCTTTTTGGACCAGAGACGAGCTCAGCAGACACCGCGCGTGCGTGTGACGAGGAGCCGGGTTCTTTGCAGGCACAGGGAGTGAGCAGGTGCCCACGCTCCAGCAGGACAGACGTGCTGATGGACACCTGACACCCTCCCAGGGATGGGCACAATGATACACGTACGCAGGTGGAGAAGCGTGCAAAGGTGGGCATGGTTAAGTCGGCCACAGAGGCTTCACGAGGAGGCAGCGGATTGGAGGGATACCCCGGGGTCCGCCGGCAGCGCACCTGCAGCGAGGAGCCCCGGGGGCCCCCACGTGGGCAGTGCTGGCGCTGACAGGCGAGAGCTCCGGGGTGCGGCTCTCGTGTCTGTCCCTTCCCCACCCTTCTGTGATGTGTTACTTCATCACGCCGCCGCCGGGGGGTTGTAACTCAGAGTCAGGATTGTCATTCAGGCGCCCCTTCTGTAGACTGGGAGCCGGGACTCGGGAGCGAGGTAAGGAAATGGGCACGGCGTGGCTGCGTGAGAAGGTGGGCTGGCCGGGTTACTGGGGACCCAGCACTGTGCCCCTGCAGCCTGCAGCGAGCTGGCCGCTCAGCAAACATGCGCCCGGATTGAGGCAGCGCCGCTAGGCACCAGCGACCTTCCGCCCTTCCTTCCTGGCTCGGGAGTTTGCTTTTAGCGGCAAAGCCCAGCTAAACGCTATGCTTCTTGGCCCTCCCTGCAGCTCCGTCTGATGGAGGGATTAGGTGCCGACGAAGAGCCGTAAGTGTATTTGGGGCAGAGCCACCCGCGGCCCCGACAGCACTGGGTATGAATTGGGAAAAGACGCCCGTTCTTCAAAACACGATCAGAAAATTAACCTACTGTACTGCTTCGGTCATAAGATGCCTCATTGTCATCTGCTGGAAAGTATTTGTAAGTAAACATGCAAATCCACGATGTGGGTGACCTGCATTGCATCTCT